ACCTCACCCTCCACTACGTGTTTCTTTGTGTACAAATTCTCTAGAGAGAATATGGATGCAAATGAAAGCTATATTGACATGGAAGTTGGTTCATTAGCCACCATTTTTTCACCTTCACACCGTAGAGAATTTGAGTTCCAAAGCTTTTCGTGCTCCTCCGGCCGAGATACCACCACTTCTCCAGCGGACGAGCTCTTTTATAAAGGAAAACTCCTCCCCCTCCACCTCCCGCCTCGTCTCCAAATGGTGGAGAAAATTCTAGAGAATAGTCATTCCTCCACCACTTTTGATCCATTACAAGAATCTTTATTCAGCACTCCATTATTCACTCCTGCATCCAATACTCCGTTTGCATCGTGCAATATTTCTCCCACTGATTCTTGCCAAGTTAGCCGAGAGCTGAACCCGGAACTGTATTTTCTTGAGTACTCGGCGGATCAATCGAGCACTTATGTGAGTGCTGCAATTAGCCCATGCCCTTATATGCTGCTTCTTGTTTCCATCTTTATTGATGTGGGATTTTATCCTTATCACTAGAGATAATCAGCATGGCTACTTGTATATGGTATCGTGCTTCTTGAATATGCCGTATTAGCGAATAACTTGAAAATTTAGTATGAAAATTATAGAATAGTTGAGTAGAAATCCTCAATATAATTTAAAGAATGTAAAACGTCTATAAGTAGCTCGTATCTCTTTGGTATTACTTTGATATTATATTCTTTCATCTCTCACGAGAATTTATTGATGAAGTAAGGGAATGGATCTCTGAGTTCACGGAGTGATTAGAGCTAGACACGTTTCGGTTGGGCTATTGTATATACCATGATACTGCAATGGCCTTGATTTTCCTTAAAGACAGCGAAATACCCTCGTCTCAGTCTAATTGTTTACATGTTACTTTGTATTTTATTATACCATAATCTGATTGTGTTTTTCTCAACAGGTTTTCGAGGAAGAACCGGCCAGTTCAAACACGAACAAATCTTGGACAAAACCTCTAAAACTTATAAAGCAATCCACACTTGGATCCAAACTCAAAGCTTCCCGGGCTTACCTCAAATCTTTGTTCACCAAATCTAGTTGCTCAGTTGAGTCCTCAAGAAATATTGTTTATGAAGGATCAATTTCAAATGCCAAAGAATGTGCACTTCAACATTCCAGGACCTCTAAAAATGTCCCATTTGGGCAAATTCAAACAAAATGTCACAGAAGGTCATTTTCGGGAGCCATAAAGAGAGTATCAAAGGCTAAATCTTCATCATCTAATTCTTCAAATTCGGGTTCAAGTTCAACAGATTCCAATGGATTTCAGGAGATGAAGATTTTGAAGGGAAATATAAGTGGAAAATCAGAACTGGAGAATTCAATTCAGGCAGCCATTGCACATTGTAAAAGGTCTCATCAGCAAGAAATATGTTCAAGAAAGACTGTTAGTGATCTTGGGTTTTGTTCAATGTCTGCTTCAAAAGTGATCTATGATGATCAAGAAAGACCAGAGCTTTGCAGGGGTTGATGAAGTTGATGATCATATATTTGGTAGGGAGGATTAAATGACAGTGGATAGTACATGCAGTCACTACTGAGTACCAAACATGCACGGAGTTTATTTTGCACTCTTTTTTGCCAAATGTGTAATGAGCATAGTAAAAACTCCGGAATAATTGTGCTGAAAATGTGTGAAAATTACGACTTAAAGAGAAATATTAGGAAGTACCATGTTCATGTAGTTGATTTCAATTTATTTAAATTAAGAACTAGGTTGTTTGTTGATATTCAATGTATTTAAAAAGGCAATTGTAATCACTCTAATCTTAAATCTACAGCACAAAGATTCTGTCCAAACTGCATCGTCCTTAAAATGCTCATCATAGTTCAGTTCATAACAACAACTAGTTGATAACTAGACTGCTAACCATTAGCAATCTAGATCGATAGCGTTATTCTTAAGAACTCCAACCACTTTGTAACTCTGGCGTGTCCTCCTATAACAAAGTGCCAATTTTCTATCATTTTGTTCATTTACTTGTAAATAAGTCCGTTACATAATCGAAGGCATTGAAATTCAATAAAGGCAGAACAAAGCCATTGCTAGACTGATATCTATGTTTAATTTGAATCTCATTTCGTTTTTAAATGAATGATACAGAATGAACCCTGGAGGATACACTTGAACCGCCTCGTATATAAGCTGAAATCGATCAAACTAAAGCTATAATATATTATTACTCGACATTGTTGTCAATAAATTTGAAATCAAGCAACAAAATTCTTTTTTATAATCAAATCCCACATAGATAAAAAAAAATTATCATGAATCAATATGCCACTCCTTTACTTCTTATCAAAGAATTTTGAAGGTAACCATGGGGTGATTATAAAACCCTATCATAATGGTCGACTTGGTTTGAATGTTTGGCAACGTTTTCGAATACAATAATGTTAGTATTAGCCCAGGTGGGAGGCCTATGCGGGCCACAATTACAAAAATCAAAATTATTAACTTATTGAACCAACTCAGGGCCTGTTTGGACCACATTGTTCCAAAAAATATATTCTTAAACAGTGATTTGACATTATTTCAATCACATATTTTTCAATAAAATAATATTACACGTAGATAAAAAAGTTTTCCTTATTTTTTATCCACACACTTCCCATTAATACACTATTCAAAAATACATTATTACCAAAATAATGTAGCTCAAACACCCCCTCAATGTATTTTACCCTTGTAACACGACCAAGAAAAAACTTGGCAGCCAGGGTACCTCTTGAACATCTCCACTTCTAAAGCAAAATGAATTCAAAATAGATCAGATAAAGTCATAAAACAGAGTCAGAAAGGACAGCTTTCAAGTGGATTCGTTTTGTCCCAAGTGGAAGTTACCCAACCTTAAACTATTTTAAATCTGTCAGCCAGATATTTGACAATATTGATGATAAAGGAGGAGCCTCTAAAAAGATCATTTGATGATGTTCAGCACTACAGGGTACTGATAACCATATAACAAGAAACTCTTCCCCCACCCAACTTCCACATTTGTCCACAAAAAGGAACTGCACTAGTTAGTTAAATGCCTACCAAAGTTTTTCTTATGTTTTTTTCACTTTATTATGAAGAGATATAGCAATGAATCGAACAGAGATATTAATGATGCACAAGAAAACCGATCTTATATATATCAAGAATAATATTTAATTTGTTAGTATTGAATCAGGAGAAGTCGACTTTCTGGAAAAAAAAAATGTCAAATGGTTAAACAAACCATGTAGTTAGTTACTAAATGCCAGAGAAGTACTATATAGGACGACGTCATGAATGCCAGAGAAGTACAGATAGAAGCCAACCACATCAGTTCGTTAATAACTTCTACGACATGTTTTTCAGCCTGCAGTCGCGTCTCTAACAATGTAATTTGAACTCTAACAATGTAATTTGAACTACGACAAACAGCAAGTGACGTAAAAAATGCAATGGCATTGGAGATGAAGAAGATTTTAAAAGAAGCACTGAGCACAACCACGGCCACCCCATCATCTTTATCCCCACCAGGAACTGTAAAAATTGCAGCAAAGACAACTGTAGCAAAGAGCACAGCCACCTGAGTCACTAAGTCGGTGGCATCGTTAATCCCTTCCCGATGAAGTTTCTGCAGTTCTTTAGCAATTCCATGGACATTTTTGTTTGTTCTCTCACTTTGCTGAAGCTGGAAATGGACATCTTTCTTCATTTCAGTTACGGTTTTCAGCAACTCATCCCTCGGTTGGTTCGACTCATTGGCTCTAACAGCACCGTAATGACAAGGCATTCCTTTATGTTCGAAGATTCTTCAGAGAGGGGAAGATCTTCGGCAATGTCAAGAGCCGTTTTGTGATCTCTGATCAGTGCGTTTACGTGTGTATCAGGCAAGCGTAATAACTCATTAACAATCTGCATGGGGAAAATTTTTCCGACGGCCTCGTGCAAAGTTGTCTAAGCAGCTGAAAGAAGAAAGAGAGATTTGATAAATAAACACTTAACAGTAAATTTTCTGGGTGGAGAATCACAATTTAGAAATCAGTTGAGCATATTTTCGCTCTTTTTTGACAAATGAAGCAAATTGTAAGATAAACAGAAAACCAATGAAGTAAACTATTAATAATTCAAGGAAATGTCTATACCAATTCCTGCTATTATTATCAAATATTACCACAAAAGTGATGTAGCTATACAATAATAGAGATTCAAAGAAATTACAATGATCATACGCATATTCCAGGATTCCTAAAAATGCAAAATGAGAGGTTAATTGATTATTGAAGTCTCAAGTATTATAGACGCATTTCTGGATACAAAATTGATCAAATATATTTGTCATACATAATTACTTAGAGGATGAACAATAGTGTCAAAACTAACAATTTAATCATAACTATATTTTTTCCAATTCCATAAAAAAAAAAATTATATTTTTCAACTTATATACCAATTTAAGTGAAGAAAGATCATTTAAATTAATCATTTTTATTGAAAAGATGGAACGATCAATCTAACTTCACAACGTTCATAATATTGTGTAAACGACTTAAGGACAATTACTTTATTTTGTACTCTTAACATTTCACATATTTATTGGCGAATAAAAATTTGCATGTAGAGAAAGCTTTAACATATTACATTATTTGCAGAGAAAAGCTTATGGCTTTTGACTTTCAAACCCCAATTTTAACATTGTTAGTTGCTCTCATTTGACGGATTATTTTTATGTATAAGTAGAAAAGTCCTAGGAATTAGAATTATACTCATCAATCTTTAGCAAACAGGTTAGTACAAAAATATATTTTTTACAAATGGTGATACTGCTAGGATCTTTGTCGCTTCTGACTTCTGCAAATTGAGAGAAACTTGTGAAATGATTTGCATTTGAAATTGTTGGCAATGATTATTGTCATCTCCAAGCATGAATGCTTTAGATTTTTAAATTTATTTTCAGTAACATGTTTCAATTTTGCCTAACCCATGATTGCATTCAATGGGAAATTATTATTTAGGTGACTATCTCCTTGACTGCTGCTCAAGCCCGTCTTCACAATATGAGGGAAGAAAGAGACCAATTCTATGAAGCTAATGATCAGATTGTTGCCCATTTAAAAACTAGGGTTTGCTCAAGTTTTTCATTAGTTATTTATTTTTTCCCTGCATTACTAAGTTTCTACTAAATATTACTTGCTGGTTATATATGTTTCTTAACTTTTTTTTTTTTCCATACCCTGTCTGTACAACTTTATAGGAAGAAGAGCTATCAAAATCCATTAAATCAAGCCGAGCAGAAGCAGATGTTCTAAGTACTTGGATAAATTTTCTGGAAGATACTTGGTCTCTTCAGTGTTCTCATACAGACACAAAAGAGAAGGAAACCAAGTATGTTAATAAACTTTAAAGTTATACCCTTGAGCATAGTTTCTCTTCCTAGATTTGAATATTCATTTGAACTTCTGCTACTTTTGTTTCATAATTTCACTTTTTATGCTTATAAGGTGAATCAGATTTTTCCAAGTTATTGAGATATTCAAAGCTTACTTTGTAGCTAATTTACAGCTTTGTATTTTTCAAGTGATGAATTGCAGACACATGAAGGCTACTTTTTAAATTTGGTTATTCAACTACTTTCGGCCTATGAGGTGCTTATTTGATGTCCCCGTCAGAATGACATTTTCTATACATAGAATCTCTCTTCTAATTCGTATGATTGACCTCGTAAACTCTCTCATTTATGATTACCTTTTCTTGTCAAAAAAAATATGATGCAGAATGAGTTGAGACCCTGTATTGATCGCATTGAAAAATACGTGGAGAATTTGAAGAGTTTAACCGAAGGGTATTTCTTTTTGTTGCATTGTTTAAATGTTTCTACTTCGGTAGAACACTTGAAATTTAAAAATTGTATTACAGGTCAGCACTGGCTGCTAACATGGAAAATGATTATTCCAAAATACTGAACCCAAGGAAAAGTCTTGAGGAGGAATACCTCAACTATGAAGCTAAGGTAAAAACATTTACCTTGTGCTAACTGGATTTGAGTTCACTTTTCTCTTGCAATATAGTTCATAAGGTGTGTAAAGTTTTCCGCATGTTGATGTGCTGAGGAGCTGTCCCTAATTATTTAGCCAAATTAATGCCCCTCTGTTTACCCCATCACCTCATGGAGATAAATGTAGTCAATCACTTATTTTAGTTGTTTTGCTGCTAATTTTTCATAATATTAAGTTTGACTTGCTCCCTATAAGGACACTGGCTGTGGCATGTTTAAATAAAAGAAAATGAGATTGTCATGTATTTTCTGTACAGATCGTAACGACTTTCAGCGTAGTGGACAACATGAGAGATCAGTTCTATGCTCAACAAGGATCGGTCTCCAGGTTTGCTTATCTGAACTTGCATATTTTTCTATTAGTAATAGTACCGAGACTGGCATCAAACTTACCTAAAATTTTATTATTGGCTTGAGTTCATTCAGTAAAGATGATCCAAAGGTTAAAGAGCTATTCGACAAAATTGCTAAGATAAGAGAGGAATTTGAATCTATAGAGAGACCAAATCTAGAAATCGAGAACCCCCCTCCACGGGCAGATACATCATCTGGTGAGAAGCTGGAGGAAAGTGTTGTACACTCCTTGGAACTAGCTGCAGAGGCACCAGAAGCCGGGAAAATCAAGCACCATGAGCAACCCAGTAACAAGTCTGAGCAGGTGCTTGACCCTGACGCTGAATTGGCAAAGCTGGAGTCTGAATTTGGTAAGTCAAACAGGGATTACTCTGCAGAAGAAATTAATGACTGGGAATTTGATGAGCTCGAAAAAGAGTTGAGATCTGGTGATTCATCGGGGAAATAAATAGAAACTATCAATCAAGATGGACAAATGTTGTATCAAATCCTAAACTATTAGCAAGTTGAATTTGTGTATGATGTAGTAAGCTCCTCAAGGCTTATTTTGTCCTTGAAGTCCACTATATGCTTGTTGAAGTCCATTTTATTTATTCTTGTGTAAATCTTTAAAAAGTATACTATGTAAACTTGTATCAATGGCACAAAACTTTGTGGATGCAGGTGAGAGTTTAAAACGATAACTTGAATTTAGCATTTACAATTACACATGTAAATGTTTTTGGTTAACCATGTTTCACCGAAAAATGTGTTCAATTTGTTGCATAAGGTTATTTATACGTGCATATTTGGTGTGTAGTATTAGACTAGATCGAACAATATATTTAGGTTTTAAAATTTTCCTATTAGAAATTCTGAGGGGTAGCTCAGTAGTGGTTTGCTCCCTAATGGTTCGAATCCCCCTTCAGACCATTGAAGAGAGTATCTGGTTGTAAACTTCAGGACCTCTTGGGATTAGTTGAGGTGTGCGTAAGCTGATTCGAATACCCACGGTTAAAAAAATAAAAAATAAATAAAAAATTACCCGTTAGGATGTAACAAGTCTTTGGGGTTACTTTTACTTAATTTTTTCAGTTAGCAGAACCTGCATGATAAGAAGCAGCAGCCTTCATACTTTACGAGAAGGGTAAACTAGAATGAAGCAGGTGTGGTTTGTAGTTCTTGGTGGTGCTGATTGATCAAACCAAAACTTTTACAAATTGGATTACAGAAGCTGAAATTTGTTTGTCTTTACAAGAGTATCATGATTGTGCAGGGCTCCATTGCTTTGCATTCAAGGGTACAAAAAATGGTGGAAGCTTAGCTTAAAAATGACTTGTCAAAGCTATTTTTTATTTATTTGAATAAATCAATTATTGGATATTATCAAGTGCAATTTTCTATTCTGGTGCTGGTTGGATACCCAGCAATGAAGGCCCCTCATCAAGTTGGAAACCCTATTGGCTGCTGATGTTTCAAGTTTTCAACCCAGCAGAAGAGCCATAAAACCCAGATTTTGTGGGGTGGGTCAGTTTATATGTGGCTATAATTGCTTATAATTTCTATTCTTTCTATAGTCGGAAAGCATTGAGTGTGGGTTTGGCATTTGGTGGTGTCAAAGACAAAAATTGTGGTTTGTGAATGAACTTGACTTAGGGATTGGATAGGTAAAATCATTTTGTAGGAAGATAACTCTAATGAGCTAATCTTTTATTACCTTAGAGAATGGTTGACTCTCTCTCATGTTGTGGGTCCTGTGTGAGTAAAAAAAAAACCCAAAAAAAAAGTGGGCCCCGTCATTGTGAGAGTCGGTCATCCCCTCTATCAAAAAAATTCGAGTACTATAGCAGGATTGTTGTTAACTTATCATATTTTTACTTTATTTGAATTAGAGACTGACAGTAAAGAATTGTAAAGTTTCTTCCCCTTACAATATATAGCAAAAGGAACAAGAAAGTTGATTGAAGGAAGGGAACTAACTAATAAAACGTTATTTTTCAATTTTATTTACCCCGATTTGCATAATTAATTATTCAAGTACTTCTTTTGAAATTAGATAATTTTGATTAATTATCTGATTCTCACGTTCCGTGAATACAAAAGAAAAGATGAACAATATTTTAAGCAAAAGTTTTTGACGAAGATGCACACGAATTGACATAAAAATTAAAGTGAAAAAAACAAATCCAGGAATCCAGTAAAAGAGTTGAACTCAGTAATTTAATAATGTTGGGTTCTCAACCTCCAAAGTAACTATGTATTATTATTCATCAAACCCAAGTGCTGTAGGCATTAAAATTCATTAGTTTTATTTTAATGTTGCAATATTTAATGATCCCTATAAAAGTTAAGACAAGTGCATTGGTTTCAAATTAAAGTATAGTCAGGTGTGTGAATGTCCCTTAAAATATACAAGAGGCATAAAGTTCTTTAATCTTTGTATTAGTTAGGTTGTATAACTAATAAGAGGAGAAAGTTGGCTTTGTTTCCTTCACTTCCAAGGTTGAGAAAAAGTAAGATTTTATTAGCAGATTAAAAGTTACTTATAAGTAACTTTTAAATTAAGCTAAATTTAGAATAACTAATTATTATTTGGGTTGTGCTATGAGTACATTATGGACACCATAATGGTGTCCATAATGCACACATGGTGCCCCCCTATTGGAGGGGCGCCTGGTGTCCATAATGTACACTAAGCATTATTCTTATTATTTGAGTAATAACCTTTTAATAGCAGCCTGAAAACCCGGTTCAAATTGCATGGAACTTCGGGTTTATCAATAAAAAGTGATGAATGAAAATGGAAAAATGATGAAATATTCTGGTTCACCGTCCAATTCAGTCATATGCATTCTAAGAGGTTCCATCTCAAAAGCTTTCTTCGAATCTTTGGGATCTCCAAAATGAAAGGGTAATCTCGTAGTTCTTGCTCTATCAAAAAATGCATCATTAAATGGTCAAATATTTTTACATTGAGGTCAAATATAAACATGTCCTAAAGAGATAGTTAAGGGATGTATTGATTCTCGAGACGAGTATACAAAAAAATTGAGTATTAATGTTTTCTACGAGGTAATACTTTGCTGGCACTTTTAGTAAGTGAACTTGATAGTACTGAACAATATTAAGAACAAAGTAAGAACGAAAATTTTAGTAGGCAACATGTCCTACAGGCTACAATGATGAGTGGGGGCAGGGCAAAGACAAAATTTCCTGATCTTCTGTTTACACATTTCTCATTCCCATGTTTTTAAATGATGCTCTTCCCCTCCATTTCCTCCTCAAACCTCACCCTCCACTACGTGTTTCTTTGTGTATAAATTCTCTAGAGAGAATATGGATGCAAATGAAAGCTATATTGACATGGAAGTTGGTTCATTAGCCACCATTTTTTCACCTTCACACCGTAGAGAATTTGAGTTCCAAAGCTTTTCGTGCTCCTCCGGCCGAGATACCACCACTTCTCCAGCGGACGAGCTCTTTTATAAAGGAAAACTCCTCCCCCTCCACCTCCCGCCTCGTCTCCAAATGGTGGAGAAAATTCTAGAGAATAGTCATTCCTCCACCACTTTTGATCCATTACAAGAATCTTTATTCAGCACTCCATTATTCACTCCTGCATCCAATACTCCGTTTGCATCGTGCAATATTTCTCCCACTGATTCTTGCCAAGTTAGCCGAGAGCTGAACCCGGAACTGTATTTTCTTGAGTACTCGGCGGATCAATCGAGCACTTATGTGAGTGCTGCAATTAGCCCATGCCCTTATATGCTGCTTCTTGTTTCCATCTTTATTGATGTGGGATTTTATCCTTATCACTAGAGATAATCAGCATGGCTACTTGTATATGGTATCGTGCTTCTTGAATATGCCGTATTAGCGAATAACTTGAAAATTTAGTATGAAAATTATAGAATAGTTGAGTAGAAATCCTCAATATAATTTAAAGAATGTAAAACGTCTATAAGTAGCTCGTATCTCTTTGGTATTACTTTGATATTATATTCTTTCATCTCTCACGAGAATTTATTGATGAAGTAAGGGAATGGATCTCTGAGTTCACGGAGTGATTAGAGCTAGACACGTTTCGGTTGGGCTATTGTATATACCATGATACTGCAATGGCCTTGATTTTCCTTAAAGACAGCGAAATACCCTCGTCTCAGTCTAATTGTTTACATGTTACTTTGTATTTTATTATACCATAATCTGATTGTGTTTTTCTCAACAGGTTTTCGAGGAAGAACCGGCCAGTTCAAACACGAACAAATCTTGGACAAAACCTCTAAAACTTATAAAGCAATCCACACTTGGATCCAAACTCAAAGCTTCCCGGGCTTACCTCAAATCTTTGTTCACCAAATCTAGTTGCTCAGTTGAGTCCTCAAGAAATATTGTTTATGAAGGATCAATTTCAAATGCCAAAGAATGTGCACTTCAACATTCCAGGACCTCTAAAAATGTCCCATTTGGGCAAATTCAAACAAAATGTCACAGAAGGTCATTTTCGGGAGCCATAAAGAGAGTATCAAAGGCTAAATCTTCATCATCTAATTCTTCAAATTCGGGTTCAAGTTCAACAGATTCCAATGGATTTCAGGAGATGAAGATTTTGAAGGGAAATATAAGTGGAAAATCAGAACTGGAGAATTCAATTCAGGCAGCCATTGCACATTGTAAAAGGTCTCATCAGCAAGAAATATGTTCAAGAAAGACTGTTAGTGATCTTGGGTTTTGTTCAATGTCTGCTTCAAAAGTGATCTATGATGATCAAGAAAGACCAGAGCTTTGCAGGGGTTGATGAAGTCGACGATCATTTATTTGGTAGGGAGGATTAAATGACAGTGGATAGTACATGCAGTCACTACTGAGTACCAAACATGCACGGAGTTTATTTTGCACTCTTTTTTGCCAAATGTGTAATGAGCATAGTAAAAACTCCGGAATAATTGTGCTGAAAATGTGTGAAAATTACGAGTTAAAGAGAAATATTAGGAAGTACCATGTTCATGTAGTTGATTTCAATTTATTTAAATTAAGAACTAGGTTGTTTGTTGATATTCAATGTATTTAAAAAGGCAATTGTAATCACTCTAATCTTAAATCTACAGCACAAAGATTCTGTCCAAACTGCATCGTCCTTAAAATGCTCATCATAGTTCAGTTCATAACAACAACTAGTTGATAACTAGACTGCTAACCATTAGCAATCTAGATCGATAGCGTTATTCTTAAGAACTCCAACCACTTTGTAACTCTGGCGTGTCCTCCTATAACAAAGTGCCAATTTTCTATCATTTTGTTCATTTACTTGTAAATAAGTCCGTTACATAATCGAAGGCATTGAAATTCAATAAAGGCAGAACAAAGCCATTGCTAGACTGATATCTATGTTTAATTTGAATCTCATTTCGTTTTTAAATGAATGATACAGAATGAACCCTGGAGGATACACTTGAACCGCCTCGTATATAAGCTGAAATCGATCAAACTAAAGCTATAATATATTATTACTCGACATTGTTGTCAATAAATTTGAAATCAAGCAACAAAATTCTTTTTTATAATCAAATCCCACATAGATAAAAAAAAATTATCATGAATCAATATGCCACTCCTTTACTTCTTATCAAAGAATTTTGAAGGTAACCATGGGGTGATTATAAAACCCTATCATAATGGTCGACTTGGTTTGAATGTTTGGCAACGTTTTCGAATACAATAATGTTAGTATTAGCCCAGGTGGGAGGCCTATGCGGGCCACAATTACAAAAATCAAAATTATTAACTTATTGAACCAACTCAGGGCCTGTTTGGACCACATTGTTCCAAAAAATACATTCTTAAACAGTGATTTGACATTATTTCAATCACATATTTTTCAATAAAATAATATTATACGCAGATAAAAAAAATTTCCTTATTTTTTATCCACACACTTCCCATTAATACACTATTCAAGAATGCATTATTACCAAAATAATGTAGCTCAAACACCCCTCCCTCAATGTATTTTACACTTGTAACACGACCAAGAAAAAACTTGGCAGCCAGTGTACCTCTTGAACATCTCCACTTCTAAAGCAAAATGAATTCAAAATAGATCAGATAAAGTCATAAAACAGTCGGAAAGGACAGCTTTCAAGTGGATTCGTTTTGTCCCAAGTGGAAGTTACCCAACCTTAAACTATTTTAAATCTGTCAGCCAGATATTTGACAATATTGATGATAAAGGAGGAGCCTCTAAAAAGATCATTTGATGATGTTCGGCACTACAGGGTACTGATAACCATATAACAAGAAACTCTTCCCCCACCCAACTTCCACATTTGTCCACAAAAAGGAACTGCACTAGTTAGTTAAATGCCTACCAAAGTTTTTCTTATGTTTTTTTTCACTTTATTATGAAGAGATGTAGCAATGAATCGAACAGAGAAAATAATGATGCACAAGAAAACCGATCTTATATATATCAAGAATGATATTTAATTTGTTAGTATTGAATCAGGAAAAGTCGACTTTATGGATAAAAAATGTCAAATGGTTAAACAAACCATGTAGTTACTTAATAAATGCCAGAGAAGTACCATATAGGACGACGTCATGAATGCAAGAGAAGTACAGATAGAAGCCAACCACATCAGTTCGTTAATAACTTCTACGACACGTTTTTCAGCCTGTCGTCGCGTCTTTAACAATGTAATTTGAACTACGACAAACAGCAAGTGACGTAAAAAATGCAATGGCATTGGAGATCAAGAAGATTTTAAAAGCAGCACTGTGCACAACCACGTCCATCCCATCATCTTTATCCCCACCAGGAACTGTAAAAATTGCAGCAAAGGCAACTGTAGCAAAGAGCACAGCCACCACAGTCACTGAGTTGGTGGCATTGTTAATCCCTTCCCGATGAAGTTTCCGCAGTTCTTTAGCAATTCCATGGACATTTTTGTTTGTTCTCTTACTTTGCCGAAGCTGGAAATGGATATCTTTCTTGATTCGAGTGATGGTTTTTAGCTACTCATCCCTCGGTTGGTTCGACTATTGGCTCTAACAGCACCATAATGAAAAAGGCATTCCTTTATGTCCGAAGATTCTTCAGAGAGGGGAAGATCTTCGGCAATGTCAAGAGCCGTTTTGTGATCTCTGATCAGTGCGTTGACATGTGCATCAGGCAAGCGTAATAACTCATTAACTATCTGCATGGGGAAAAATTTTCCAACAGCATTATGTTACCCTCGTGCAAAGTTGTCAAAGCAGCAGATAGAAGAGAGAGATTTGATAAGTGAACATTTAACAGTAAGGTTGCTGGGTAGAGAATCATAATTTAGAAATCAGCTGAGCATATTTTCTCTCTTTTTTGACAAATGAAGCAAATTGTAAGATAAACAGAAAACCAATGAAGTAAACTATTAATAATTCAAGGAAATGTCTATACCAATTCCTGCTATTATTATCAAATATTACCACAAAAGTGATGTAGCTATACAATAATAGAGATTCAAAGAAATTACAATGACCTCTTTCATACGCATATTCCAGGATTCCTAAAAATGCAAAATGAGAGGTTAATTGATTATTGACGTCTCAAGTATTATAGACGCATTTCTAGATACAACATTGATCAAATATATTTGTCATACATAATTACTTAAGAGGATGAACAATAGTGTCAAAACTATACCAATTCCTGCTATTATTATCAAATATTACCACAAAAGTGATGTAGCTATACAATAATAGAGATTCAAAGAAATTACAATGATCATACGCATATTCCAGGATTCCTAAAAATGCAAAATGAGAGGTTAATTGATTATTGAAGTCTCAAGTATTATAGACGCATTTCTGGATACAAAATTGATCAAATATATTTGTCATACATAATTACTTAGAGGATGAACAATAGTGTCAAAACTAACAATTTAATCATAACTATATTTTTTCCAATTCCATAAAAAAAAAAATTATATTTTTCAACTTATATACCAATTTAAGTGAAGAAAGATCATTTAAATTAATCATTTTTATTGAAAAGATGGAACGATCAATCTAACTTCACAACGTTCATAATATTGTGTAAACGACTTAAGGACAATTACTTTATTTTGTACTCTTAACATTTCACATATTTATTGGCGAATAAAAATTTGCATGTAGAGAAAGCTTTAACATATTACATTATTTGCAGAGAAAAGCTTATGGCTTTTGACTTTCAAACCCCAATTTTAACATTGTTAGTTGCTCTCATTTGACGGATTATTTTTATGTATAAGTAGAAAAGTCCTAGGAATTAGAATTATACTCATCAATGCATCACAAAATCAATTCTTTATATAATATAAAAATCAATAAAACTAGAATTATACTCGTTGATATGTTTGCTGACATTATGAAGTAAACTAAATGGTCATCTTCAAATATTTTTGTTGGCAAAGTTTGGAAAAAGATTTATTTGCTATGCATCGAATAAGTATTCTACTCTTTACAAATTTAATAAGCTATATTAGATTCACGTCCCCTTGTACGCTTACTGCTTTTTAATTGATGATCAAATAATTCAACTAATAATCATTTCTTAGCTAATCATTTCTTAGCTTCCCATGTAGAATTGCCTTAACATTAAGTATTTATACAATTGTGAATAAAAATTATCATCAAAATACTTAATTGGGTATGTTTTCAAATGAAAATTTTATTGTAAAGCATTGAGTTGAAATTTCTTTAAAGTTATGAACATCAATATTTAGTGCATATACAAATATTTTTTAATACCAAAATCCAATTATTTGTGTAGATCAACTATTACGTTACTATGTATATAGTAGCATATAGTCTTATTATTAATGCTGTGACTTTGAACATATGAATAGTAAGATGGAATATACAGAGGAGGCCTGGGAATCAAATTTTATTGTTATGTCAGAGAGAGTAAAAATACATGGAAAGACTACTTCTTGATTATTTTTTCACTCTGTTTTTTCGTTTTAGTTGAAAAGCAAGAAAACAAAAACCAAAGAAATTCTGGTCATCTAATGACCTCTTAATAATCTGAAAGAAAACTATAGTATGTTTTTACTGGATAGTAGCATTCACAAGTTTAATCATCAAAATTCTATTGAGAATTCTTCCTAATAGGTTAATAAATGAAGCGTTTTTGGAGCTTGAGACTACACGCACAACGATAATTGACAGAGTAAATATGTGGAGGAAAAACACATTTGGTTCAAGGTAAGTTTCCCATCCATCAAGTTAAAGGTAAACATAAAAATAGAAACTAAAGCAGCATAACATACCTTTGAATGCTTTTTTCTTGTGGCTACATGTAATGCCATATTTCCAAATTTTTCAGGCAACATCACAATAGCTGCATCAGCCTCAAGGAGCAATATAACAACCTCGGAGTTAACTCCTTTCACAGCCATGAGCAATGCAGTCTGTCCTTTCTTGTCTGTCCTTCTAGCTAATTGAGGATCCTTATCAAGCAAAGCCTTTACGATGTCCACATGCCCTTGCTTGACAGTTAAGTGCAATGCATTTTTTCCATTCGATCTTGAAACTTCTAGCAAACTACAATCCTTTGACAACGATTCATTAACTACAGCCGTATGTCCTTTAGAAGCAGCAGTTACAAGAGGCGTAGCATTTGAAGGACCAACTGTTTTAATCAGTCCAGGGTCACGATCTAACAATACTAGGACAATACCTGCAATAGAAGGGTACAATGTCAGTGTAGGCCAGCTAGAAAAAATTTACTTGCTGTTATCAAATATAGTGCAGAAACAAAATCTGTTTCCTGTTATCTGCAAACTTCAACAAGTGTTTTGAAGTTTGATGTAATCATTTATTTGTTTTGAAATGTGGTCAGGTTTGAAGATTACAATCTCAATAATTAGTTCTGCCAAAGGGAACAGTAGTGAAAAATACTAGCAAAGGAGAAAAAAATTGCTTTGCCACAACATACATACAGCACACATACATGCACATATGCATGTGATCATAATATCTCCTGTTTAACCTTAAAAGTGAAGCATAAACCAATGATTCTAAATTACACCAT